ACTACTATATATGCAAATGCAGCTTCTTACCTGGAAGTTTTCACTTGAAATTGTGCCATTAATTTTCTTTTTGTATTATGTACGGTCAGGCCACTCAAGATGGCTGTTCTCTCGCTCTCAGAACATCCTCTGCCCGACCAGTGGCCTGCTTCTCCTATATCTTACTCACCTGACTGACCTTCCTATGTACTTGCCCCAGGCCCCAGCTGGTGATTGTTCTTATCAAAGGGGCCGGGAGGGGCGTGCCCTTCTGCTAGTTTCCCTGGTAACTAATGAGCCCACCTGACATCAATTCTCCTTATAACTGGTAACCTCTCCCCCACCAACCCCCAGCAAAGACTGCCGCCGCGTCCTGCCCATCATTCGCTGCACGTGGTGGTGTTGCTCCAGGACCTTGCTTCAGACGTGTAAGCTCCCCCCTCCATTAAATCACTGATGTCTCTGTTGCTGACTCCGAGCTCTTTCTTTGTTCTTGAAGCTGGGCAAGCACAGGCCTCGTAGGCCTGCGGGGTGCAGCCCAACATATTATTAACTATATTTCCAAAACGTGTTTATTGTTAATGGCTGTTAGACTATAAGTTCCATGAGCATAGGGACTATCTTGTTTGTATAACCAGTAACAAGTATGACATAATTTATTTAACCATTTTCCTATTGTTTGACATTTAGGTGGTTTCCAAATTTTCACTGTCATAAATATTACAGTATTCTTTTTTTTTTTTTTTTTTTGCGGTACGCGGGCCTCTCACTGTTGTGGCCTCTCCCGTTGCGGAGCACAGGCTCCGGACGCACAGGCGCAGCGGCCATGGCTCACGGGCCCAGCCGCTTCGCGGCACGTGGGATCTTCCTGGACCGGGGCACGAACCCGTGTCCCCTGCATCGGCAGGCAGACTCTCAACCACTGCGCCACCAGGGAAGCCCTACAGTATTCTTAATGTATGACTTTTCCCAGTCTTTCCCCATTACTTGACAGCTGTTTTGTTTCTCTCTCTCTCCCACCCTCAGAGGGGAGCTCTATTTTGCCTGTTGAGTCTTTGAGCTTTTGTGATGCAGATTGAGAAGGAAAGAGGTGAAGCTGAAGTTGAAGAACAAGAGGTGTGTGGGCGCTAGGAGTGCAAGAGGGATTTTCTGAGAATTTTGGAGGACAAGAGATGTGGGAGGTAAAAAGTATTGCAGTGGTCTGTGTAGCCTCTTCACTGTGTTCTTAAAATGTAAGTACAGAAATTGAAGTGAATCAGGTGGGTTTCTTTGCCTGCCCAACATTCATCCTTTAGGATTAGGGAATCCTAGCTTCTGAAACAAACAGCCCCCAAATCTCAGTGGTTTAACATCATTAAAGTTTAGGACTCGCTCATGTCACTGTCCTTTGGGGTGTTCAGTGGGTGAACTTCAGGTGGTGACACAGGAACTCAACTCCTTCCATATGGTGGATCTGACATCCCACAGGGTCTCCGAGACTTGCACTGGTCCTTCTACATCCTGCCTGGAGGTAAGGAAGCAGAGAGAGCACCAAGGGCTCGGCAGGAGGTTTAATGGGCCAGACCTGGAGGTGGAGTACATCGCTTTTGCTCCGTTCTGTTTTCCAGAATTCAGTCAGGTAGCCCCCATCTAGCTGCAAGGGAAATTGAGAATGTAGTTTATTGTGTCCCAGAGATGGCTAGTCTCTGTTATCACTTCCTATTCTCTGAAGTCCTGATAAAACTGTTACTCAAGGTATCTGTGTTCTCTTGGCCAAATGGTAGACGGGGCCCAAGTAAGGCTATTCGGAATCTCCTTCCTTCCCAATTATTTGAATCTTGAGTAGAGTGACAAAAAGATGGAAAACATTTGGGGCTGGTTCATTCTGATGACAGTGCCCTGTAATAACCCTTCCTTCCAAGGAATGCAGGAACCATTCCTTCCTGCGAGGGGGACCACCGTAGCCTGGGAACTGTCTTTTACAAGAACTAGATATTCGACTTTTCCTTCATATCCATAATCTACCCACATCCTTACAACAAATTCCTTTGCTGCCTAAGTTAGCTACAGTTATTTTTTGTTGCTTATAATCAAAGGACCCTAAAACAGAATTTGAACTCTCTTTGAATTATGTTCCTTTGTTATTATTACTCATCTGTGTTTCTTCACTTATAGCACCACTTTTGGATGATGGTTTTATAAATGTTACAGAAATAATGTTGAGATAAACTGATGTGTACATAAATCTTTACCTTATTTCCAATAATTTTCCTAAACCAAATGCCTAGACCAAATATATTTTTAAAAAGCATTTTAACCCTAATTATGTATTTCAGTCATTTAAAGACCGATACAAAATCTTTTCACATCATAAACATTCCATTTCAGCTTCAGAAATTGTGTTTTCAACATTATAAGTAATAGCAAACACAAGAAAGCACTCATCACACAGCCTAGTGTTAAAGTTAGGTGATGAATCTAATCATAAGTGAGGAAATCCTTCCAGAAACTTTAGATACAGTGTGAGTTTTCTAGAACGCTGTGTCCTCAGTTGCAATAGGATGGCAAGAAAACTTGTGTCATATCCTTAGTGAGCCTTCAGTCGCTTATTTGCTTTTGGTCATGGTCAATTCAGATCTCAGTTTCAGTGGAAGCCATTCTTGGTCCTCTCTCTTTTATTCGTGTCTCTTTTCCTCCACACTGGGACATCTCTTAACCTCCGTGAAGCACCAGGCCATTAAGGTCTGCCCACATAAGTCAGTCAGGTCTTTATGAAATTGCCCATGAGGTTTTGCTGTTGCATGAAGACAAATTCTTTCATAGAGGGTTGGTTTGTCTTCTTGGTTTAGGAAAGAAAATAGGAAAATCTGGCATACAGATATTCATGTATCCCAAAAAGAAAGATAAAGAGAATTTTTCTTTTTAATTTCCAAAAAGAGGAAAAGCTTTTTTGAGCCCTGCATACCTTGGGCAATTCTTTTTTTTTTTTTTCATCTACAGCATTACACTTTATTGACATACAATAACCAACTTTTAATAACACTTTATCGTTGTAAAGATCTTGCCCTTTTTTTTTAACATCTTTATTGGAGTATAATTGCTTTACAATGGTGGGTTCGTTTCTGCTTTATAACAATGGGAATCAGTTATACATATATATATATGTTCCCGTATCTCTTCCCTCTTGCGTCTCCCTCCCTCCCACCCTCCCTATCCCATCCTTCTAGGTGGTCACAAAGCACCGAGCTGATCTCCCTGTGCTATGCAGCTGCTTCTCACTAGCTGTCGATTTTACGTTTGGTAGTGTATATATGTCCATGCCACTCTCTCACTTTGTCACAGCTTACCCTTCCCCCTCCCCATGTCCTCAAGTCCATTCTCTAGTAGGTCTGTGTCTTTATTCCCATCTTACCCCTAGGTTCTCCATGACCTTTTTTTTTTTATCTTAGATTCCATATATATGTGTTAGCATACGGTATTTGTTTTTCTCTTTTTGACTTACTTCACTCTGTATGACAGACTCTAGGTCCATCCACCTCACTACAAATAACTCAATTTCGTTTCTTTTTATGGCTGAGTAATATTCCATTGTATATATGTGCCACATCTTCTTTATTCATCATCTGTCAATGGGCACTTAGGTTGCTTCCATGTCCTGGCTATTGTAAATAGTGCTGCAATGAACATTGTGGTACATGACTCTTTTTAATTATGGTTTTCTCAGGGTATATGACCAGTAGTGGGATTGCTGGGTCATATGGTAGTTCTATTTTTAGTTTTTTAAGGAACCTCGTCTCATAGCGTTGTGGACGGAAAAGATACTTGATACGATTTCAATTTTCTTAAATTTACCAAGGCTTCATTTGTGACCCAAGAAATGATCTATCCTGGAGAATGTTCCATGAGCACTTGAGAAGAATGTATATTCTGTTGTTTTTGGATGGAATGTCCTATAAATATCAATTAAGTCCATCTTGTTTAATGTGTCATTTAAAGCTTGTGTTTCCTTATTTATTTTCATTTTGGATGATCTGTCCATTGGTGAAAGTGGGGTGTTAAAGTCCCCTACTATGATTGTGTTACTGTTGATTTCCCCTTTTATGGCTGTTAGCATTTACTTTATGTATTGAGGTTCTCCTATGCTGGGTGCATAAATATTTACAATTGTTATATCTTCTTCTTGGATCGAGCCCTTGATCATTATGTAGTGTCCTTGTCTCTTCTAATAGTCTTTATTTTAAAGTCTGTTTTATCTGATATGAGAATTGCTATTCCAGCTTTCTTTTGATTTCCATTTTCATGGAATATCTTTTTCCATCCCCTCACTTTTCAGTCTGTATGTGTCCCTAGGTCTGAAGTGGGTCTCTTGTAGACAGCATATATACAGGTCTTGTTTCTGTATCCATTCAGCCAGTCTACGTCTTTTGGTTGAAGCATTTAATCCATTTACATTTAAGGTAATTATCGATATGTATGTTCCTATTCCCATTTTCTTAATTGTTTTGGGTTTGTTATTGTAGGTCTTTTCCTTCTCTTGTGTTTCCTGCCTAGAGAAGTTCCTTCAGCATTTGTTGTAAAGTTGGTTTGTTGGTGCTGAATTCTCTTAGCTTTTGCTTGTCTGTAAAGGTTTTAATTTCTCCATCAAATCTAAATGAGATCCTTGCTGGGTAGATAATCTTGGTTGTAGGTTTTTCTCCTTCATCACTTTAAATATGTCCTGCCACTCCCTTCTGGCTTGCAGAGTTTCTGCTGAAAGATGAGCTGTTAACCTTATGGGGATTCCCTTGTGTGTTATTTGTTGTTTTTCCCTTCCTTGGGCAATTCTTATACAATAATATGCAACTGTGAAATTGGAATAACTGTCATTGGGTAAAATTTACCTCAGCTGTGGCCAACTCAGGCAAGTATTTTGTTATTGTTGTCCAACTTGTGTTGCTTGAAATACATTCTTTATCAAAATGTTAGCATAAAATGTTTAATTAGTATTTAACCCAAAATATAATATAATATATATATTTAAAGAAAAACAGGCACAAAATTAATTAACAATAGAAAATTTTAACAAAGCAATACAAAAGTAGGAGTGAACACTTTTAATAAAATTAGACTGAAACAAGTCTTTCTTAACTTGAAAGAAAGAAGAAAATGAAAAAGCTTTTAAAAGCCACTTATCAAAAAGTCCTCATAGAATAATTTTGTGAGCAAATTTTAAACATCTATACAGAATAAATTTTGTTACTGAGCCCTGGAACAGTTTAAAGGAAAAGGAAATATTCCAAATACATGGTACAAACAACATTACACTATTGCCAAATCTTACTAAACTAAAAGAAAGCTACTGACCAATCTTACTTATGAATGTCAACAAAAAAACATCCTAAACAAAATGTTAGTAAATAGAATTGGATAAGACACTGAAAGGATAGTAGATCATGAATAAGTGTCATTCATTCTAGATTGCAAGGATAATTTGATATAAGTAAATAAGTTAACATACTCTTTTAGCTGCCAAAAACATTTAATTCCAAATCTTTTCCTGATTTTTTAAAAAATTTGTGAAGTTGGATGGAATGGATATTGCCTGAATGTATAAGATAAATACATATTGAAAATTTAAGGCCAGTATTTAGTGGATAAATAATGGAAATGTTTCCATTAGAGTCAGAAATAAGGATTTCTTAGATCGTCGCAATTATTTAGTACTATTCTGAACATTTGAGACAATGCAATTAATCAAGGAAGTGAAATAAGAGGTATCCATCCTTGAAGGGAGGATGCAAAATTATCATAATTTCCAGCTAATATAATTTTATACTCATAAACGCCAGGAAAACAAACTGTAAAACTTTTGGAACTATTAAGAGTATCAGTAAGGTAGCTAGTTTTAAAATAAATATACAAAAATGCAGTCAGTCTTTTCGTTTACCAGTGATAACTAGTGAGAAAACTACCATGTTTACAACAACTAAAAACAAAGAAAATCAAATAACTGAAAAGAAATATACAGTAATACAGGTTATAAAACTCTACCAATGCACAAAAATTAACTCAAAATGGATTAAAGACTTGAACATAAGACCTGAAACCATAAAGCTTCTAGAATAAAACATAGTCAGTAAGCTTCTTGAAATACATAGGTCTTGGCAATGATTTTTAAATCTCATACTAAAAGCAAGAGTAACAAAAGCAAAAATAAAGTGGGACTACATCAAATTACAAAGCTTCTGCACAACAAATGCAGCAATCAACAAAATTAAAAGGCAACATACTGCATAAGAGAAAATATTTGCAAATCACACATCTGGTAAGGGTTTAATATCCAAAATATATAAAGAATTCATACAACTGTGGTGATCATTTCACAGTGTATACAAATATCAAATCATTATGTTGTACACCTGAAACTAATATAATGCTTTATCAATTATACCTCAATAAAAATGAATTTAAAGACATACCTTGCTTCTGGACAGAAAGATTTGGTGTTGTAAAGATGTCACTTCTCTTTAAAATAGACTACAAATTATATGAAATTTCAATAAAAATCCAACATGACAAAAATCACTTTCAAGTTCATCTGCAAAGACCATAACAAAGGAGAGGTAGGGAGGGGACATGCACTTTCCCTATTAGATAGTAACATCTTGTATTTAGCAGTAATAGTAATAACAACAACAGCAACAACATGGATGGTATTGGCATAGGAAAAGACAGACTGTGAAGCGGGGCAGTGAGGGAATAGAAAATCACAGAAACAGACTCAAGTATTATGAAAGCTTAGTGTTGTTGGTTTGCAAACTCAGGAGCTTCCTGGGTGACATTTGAAACTGTCCCCCCCACCCCTCCATGAGGAGGCAAGCCACTCCCTATTGGTGGGTGGCAGGTTTAATAAGGAAGGGAACTTAACGATGCTTGCCATGGGTGGCTGCAAGATGAGTAGCTCTCTGCACCTGCCCCCCAGAATCTTAAAAGTTTATACAGAAGCCTTAACTGGGTTCAGTCATGCATACAGTCCAGATGGTCTCAACAACACAATACTCTCTCAAAGCTGTATCCTTGAAGGGCTTCTAGGTGGGCAGAGTAGGTGGTACATACATTCTGAGGATAGGGGAGGGGGCAAGAAGTCTCTGATTGCCTGGGGTCCAGCTTGCAGGTCAACTAGTAGTCACGTCCTCACCATGACCTCCTCCAACAAGTGTATGATAAATGTGGCATTTCAAATCACAGGGGAAAGATTTGCTATTCACTAAATAATTTGGGGCAACTGGCAACTTAAGGGAGAAATTACATCTCATGAATTCAATTCCAGGTAGATTAAAATTTTTAATAAATGTCAAAAGTGAAACAGAAGTCTGAGTACACATTTTTAATAACAATAAAGTGCAACAAGTCTTTCCTAACTTGACACCAAAGCCAGAAACCATAAAAGAAAATGCACTTACATAGAAATTAAGTACTTCCTGGCAGCAAAAACAAAAACAAAATAACACAATTATAGAAGTGGAAAAAACTTAGAAAAAACTAGTAACACACAGGATGGACAAAGAATTACTACTACAGGATGAAGAGCTCTTACAAATCAACTATAAAAAGAAAAATGGTCAAAGACTATGAATAATCAATTCATGAAAGAACAAATTAAAATGGATGAAAAGTATGAAAAGATGTTCAGTTTCATTATTTTCTAAAATAAAAAAAGAACAACAAAAAACAAATCTTTTTAAACCATAAGATTGGCATCAGGTGAATCAAAGGTTGGTCTAGAGGAGGCAAATTTTTACCTCCACCCTCTTACTATTGTTGGCTGGGCCTGATAATTAAACTGACATAGACAGATTAACAGGAGAAAAGTATACACATTTAAATTAAGTTTTACATGACACAGGAACCCCCATAAGGAATGAAGACCCAAAGAAATGGCAGAACCTACATGCTTTTATATTAGGTTGAAAAAAAGAAGCAATTGTGGAAAAGTAACAACACTGTAGAGAGGGTAAAGGAAGGTAAGAATTATTTGAACAAGGTCTGTTTGTACAGAGTTCTTTCTGTCTCAGTTCCATGTCTCTGGTGATAAGAACGTCTTCCTCTTTCCTGGCACAGAGATCACACCTTTCCCATGGGAGTTTTATCTCCTGCTTTCAGGAATAAAAAGGAGGGTCTGAATGCCCATCTTGCCTCTGCTGTTTCTCACGTGCCTTTAATGCAAAATAAGCAATATGCCATATCTGCGTATTTTGGGGTGACATGCTCTGAACTCCTTCACTGGCAAAGGGGAAAAAAAAACTGGCATTTTTCCAAAACTTCTGATAGGGGTATGAATGGATATCTTTCTGGAAGGCGTTTTTATCAATCCATACCGCAAGTATAATGGCACAACTCATTCAATCCAAGATCTCATATGTAGAAATTCTCCACAAAGACATAGTTACAGCATAGGGGGAAAATGCGTAAACATGCCCGTTGTTTTAATAATGATAAAAGCAAAACTGAAAAAACAAAACACAACAAAATGTCCGTCACTAGGTGATCGGTCAAGTAAATGAGACACTTGGCTACCATTAAAATTTAAGGCTGTAGTTTTTTATCTTTTGAGGTGGAAACACGAATCAGCACACTTCTGAGTGGGGAAAAACGTAGGCTGCAGTAAAGGATGAATTCATTTATAAAGCATATGTCCACATATCTATACATGTGTCCATGTACATTTAGAAATCTGGAAGTTTATCTCTGGATGGTGATTTTATGGTCTTAATGGTTTTTTTCTCATTCGATTTTTATTTATTTATTTACTTGCTAAATGAGCATGTACCCCCTTAACTATAAAATATTAAGCTTTTCCAAAATAAGTCACCTTGCCAACCAGTTCCCCAACCCTTTTGGTTCTGTCCCTCCCTCTACACCAACAGTACCACATTTCTTCAATACTAAACTGCACATTTTTTTCTCACTAGGAGCCATCTTAAAATATATGGCATCTCACAATTGCTGTTGGCCAGGAGGCTGACATGACATAGCTGTCAGTGCCTGTGTATGTGCAAACGTGGTTATAGTTATTCATATTGTCATCACTTCAGTTAATTGCAGACATCACTGGTACTACATCTGTTGAGTATAACTGGCATTTAAAATTGCTTTGGTTACTGTTGCTACATAACTAATCACCTCAAGACTTAATGGCTTAAAACAACCATCATTTTATTATCTCTCACAGCTTCTGTGGGCCAGGAATTCAGGAAGAGCTTGATCGGATGCTTCTGGTTAAGAAATCTCTCATGAGACTGCAGTCCCATAGCGGCTGGAATCAGAACAGCAGAGGCGGAGGGTGCAGGAGCACCTGGAAACTGACAAAGCATCTTTCTCTCTTTGCTAGTCTCGGGGCTTCTCCATGTGATCCTTCTGAGTTAGAATAGTTTGGGCTTCCTTGCAGCATGGCGGCCACAGACCAGCCAGACTGCTGACATGGAAGCTCTGGGCTCTAGAGCAAATATTCCAGCAAACGAGGTGGAATTTGTATCATCTTTTTCAGACCTGGCTTCAGGAGTCATGCAGTGCCACATCGGATGCTTTCCACTGGTTACACGCAAGTCACAAACTAGCCTAGATTCAAGGAATGAGAAACTAAACTTCCCCTCTTAATGCGCCAGTAGTAAGCTTCTAGAAGCACATGTGGGACAAGAGTTAGTACTGTGATCACCTTTGGGGAAAAAAATATCTGCCACAAAATGTTCTCAAAAAGATTATACTTGCGTTTAGCATTAAAATGTAAAGTTATCGGGCTTCCCTGGTGGCGCAGTGGTTGAGAGTCCGCCTGCCGATGCAGGGGACACGGGTTCGTGCCCCGGTCCAGGAGGATCCCACATGCCATGGAGCGGCTGGGCCCGTGAGCCATGGCCGCTGAGCCTGTGCGTCCAGAGCCTGTGCTCCACAACGGGAGAGGCCACAGCAGTGACAAGGCCCGTGTACCGAAAAAAAAAAAAAAAAAAAGTAAAGTTATCTTAAATCCAGAAAAGTACTACATGATAAAAACAAATCCCTTTCTTTATGTCTAACAGAACTCTTTCAATAGGTGTAAAATAAAACTTTCAAGTGATAAGGGAGCGGTGTCTCATAGTTTAATTGGCAGAATTTATTCTGTCTTGGTGTCTATTGCAGAGATGTCTTCCATTCTCCCATTCGGGTCCACTTCCCACACTTCTCCTTGTGAAGCGGATGGACGTGCTCCTGTGCCCACTGGCTTCAGGTTGGGTTGGACCAGTGGAGAGGCCCGGCAGGAGATGGGTGGGAGGGTGGGAGGGAGGGAGGGCAGGCAGGCGGACGGAGCATTCACTTACCTGTTCTCTGCCTGTGAGCTCCTGACTCAGGCTGTCGCTCTACAATTCGCTCCCCTTCCAGGTTTATGTAACATCCCGCATCCCTCTTTCTTTTATACTAAGGTAGTGACAGTTCCTCAGATGTTAGCCCTAGGTTTCTACACTTTCCTTTCTGGTTGCCCTACACCTTTGTAATTAGTGCCTTTGTAAATAAGTCCCTGACTGGTCAAGAGGTATATAGAATAATGCTGCATTTTACAACTAATGGCATCTTAGAATAGATTAAACACAGCTTTAGAAGTGACTTCACTTTACACGTTAACAGGATGAACAGAGACTGGCCTGTCCAAGGCCTTCCCACTGTGGGGAGGTAGGCTGGTGAAGCTGGAACCTAAGCGGGGAGACATCAGGCAAATTCCCTCCTGTAGAGAGGCACGGCCACTGGGCTCTATGGGCGTGATCCACTGTAATATTTTCTGTTGTAATGCCCTTGTGCTACAAACACACTTTCAGTTATGTCTGCTTGGTGTTACAGCCTGATCTCCTCTATAACATAGGCAAGGCCCAAACCTACCCTTGTTGTGTAGCAGAAATACAAGAGCAGCAGGAAGGAGAGACTGTTGCCAGAGCAAGAAACGACCTAAGCAGGATGGAGAATGCTCACACAGAAACAGCTGAC